GGGGGGGGGGAGAAGAAGAGGATCAGATAAAGGTCATCTCTTGCATTATCAGTTTTATGGGGCTAAAAATCCAAGCTATTTTGCAATCTAATTTTTTTTTTGTTTTATTCAACATGTTCCTGCATCAAAGCACAAAATGTTGGTTTAGGTAATTTTTTTTGATAAAGAATACCTAGCAAAAAGCTCTCTCTGTGTCTCCCTCTGTCTCTCTCCCCTCTCTCCACGTCTCCCTCTTTTTCCCTCTCTTTCTCTTTTTCCCTCCCTTTGTCTCTTTTCTCACACCTTCAGTATACTAGATATCTTTTCTTGCTTTCATGTTCTATCTAAAGATAAGAAAGATAATGCAAACGGAGTGCCACTGCCGCACGGTCTAAGATACAGAAAAAAAAGAGAAAAAAGACAATGCGAGAAAAGCGAATAAACCTTTTCAACGAAAAATAATAATTTGAAAAAAAACAATAAAACCAGGATAAACAAGAAGACAAGGTGAACAAACCAGAATCCCGAATTATGAGATAATGCAAGTCAAATGATAACGAAGAGTTTCAAAAAAAAAAGACCAAAAAAGAGGATAAAGTTTCGAAAAAAGAAGGAAATAAAACCAATAAAAAATATCAAATGTTTTCTTTTCTTTTCATTTTACAATAATTATTTATCGATAAACTCTAAAGTTTGTATTTTTTTTTTTTGCATCCATCCCAAGCAGGCAGCGGCTTGCCTATCCTGGAGAAAAAGGTCAGTAGAACCAAAAACAAAAAAAAAGAGAAAGCAAGTAATAATCTGAAATTTACTTAAGTTGTGAGATGTCGATTAAGAGATATCAATTGTGAGACATGTGTTATGAGAGATCAATTTAAAGTTTGTAGTTTGTAAAGTTTATGAGATATGCATTATACATTTAAAGTTGTCTTCTGTGTCCTATTAGATTGCAAAACTCTTATTTCGTGGTAGGGTGGGTATATGTAGTTTTATTTTTTCTTCTTCTTCTTTTCTTCTGCTAGCCGTGCCACCGGTTTTTCTCCCTTTCGATAATCAAAGATACGAAGTTTAACTTGTGCACAAAAATGAGTTTAGATTGGGAATTATAAAAATATCATCAAGTTCTCATATCTACCGCTAGACTATGAGCCGCTCAGATTCTCCAAATGGTTGGTTTAATACCCAATAAAGGGATGTTTTCTAATGATTGGTCATAGATCATTAAATATCAGAGAGCTACCGTTTCATGGGCTTGCTCAACAGAATCTTGCATTTTAATTCCAAATTCAGTTTATTATATCTCAGTTTCTTTTTCTTTCTTTTTCATACAGCGCCAGAGAGAAATGGGAAACTTGTCTTCCCCACTAAAAGAGATGGCAGGTCGGTGTGTGGGGTATTTGGTTCATGAGGAGGTGGTACACGCGGGGTATAACTGGGCATAAAGGAACGGCCCCAAAAAAAAAAGGTCAAAAGGGAAATGTTAAACTTTTGTAGAATCTCAGAATATCCACATAAATATCCTTCGGAGTATTTTCAAGGTGAGTCTCTATTTGCGTAGTATAAACAAGACCACCTTCATCTACCTCCTCTCTCTTTTCACCACCTTCTCATTCCTCTACCATATGCCCCCCTCCCCCCTCCGCTCTCCTCATCTCGCTCTTAATTGTTCACCCCTCACAAATGTTCACGTGAATTCTATTCTGTTTATTATTTCTTCATTTTAAGTTGGGTTTCAATTAACGTTTTTGTTTCCAAAATTTTCTGGGTGAATAAATTAACCTCTGTAAAGTTTAAACAAAAAGACATTGATGTAAAGTTTAAACAAAGAGACATTGATGTAAAGTTTAAACAAAATTACATTGAGAGAGGAAAACACAATCAGATGAAAGGAACGCAATGTTAAGTAGCTACACTAAAAGATAAGATTGACTAAATAAATTCCTCCCACTTGCGAGTGTATGGTAACGTGATCACTTTATAGAATATAGTAAAAAACGGTGCAAAAGAAAATAGACCATTGTACTAAGAATTAAAAAACCCTTTAGCTATTTAGTAGTACTAAAAATCTGTCACACACTTGTGCGATGTATATGAGTAAAACTCTATACTGTTTTCCCTTTGTACTCTGTTAGTGTTTGAGAGGCAAAAGTACACCTACATCCTTGCAAGCAAAACAGAAATGTATCTTTTCTATTTTTGATAACATTCTTTGAAATTAGTATGTCCAAGTAGTGTCCTTTTTTTGGCACAATTATTGGTAAAAATAAATAAACCTTTTAACAAACCACTATTTTCCACTAGGGCTTTCAAAACGACAAAACAATAGCAAGATTACAAGAGAGTAGTTCAATTACAATTAACTAATTTCCTCGAGAGTAGCGCCTTCATCTTTTACAAATAAACTAATCTCCTTGAGAGTAGCATCTTCACCTTTTCTCCTCGTGTTCAGCTTTTCTTCTCGTCTTCACCTTCCCCCACCTTCTATCAACTCTCTTTGTGTATTGCAACAATTATTGAAGTTTTCAAAAACACCTTTCATTTCATTCGTCTTTCCTTCAACAATCTCCTTTCTTTCATAAGCTCTCAACTGTGATACGAAAGTACTTCTTGCCATCTTTCAATAACCACTCCAAAAATTCTCATTACGAGAGCCGCACATTAACCCAACTGGGAACTTTTTGTCAATTTTTTTTTTTTTTTTTTTTTTCTGTTTTCAATTTTTGTTGATATTTGTTATTTGATCGATGTGCAAAGGTTGAAAGAAGAAGAAAAGGCGTTCTTTTACATCAAGGTGGGTTTCCAGCGTAATACTATTAAGGGCAAAATTGATAAAGTAATTTGATCCTTTTTTTTTTTTTTTTTTTTAATTTCACAATGCGCCAGGATGGGGCTGCATCATCTTTTAAATCAACTTCGAATATCAAACAATCATATCTACTCTAACATAGAATTAAAAGATCTTGACAAAAGAAGCCATCGATTGAGAAAATACAATAATGATTATTCACTCAAGCGTATGATTCAAGAAACACGAGAAACCATAGTCAAAGAACCTGTACAGCAAACAAAGGCTAAATCAAAGGTCAAGATTCTCAATAAAAATGGTCAATTTTTGGTTCATATCAAGTACAATTCAACAGATAAAAGAGAACTACCATACCATGGGGTTCTTAACTATCCCGATTGCGTGATTAACGATACCGATCCAACTAAAGAAGAACGAGCGAATTTTGACAAATTGAAAGAGGCAGCATTAAGTTCACTTGAAGAAGAGAAAAAAAAAACAACAACAACATCATCATCTTCATCTTCATTAACATCAACAGCGGATCATACTAGCGAGGTTTCATCCAATAATAATGCTGCTACTGCTAAAGAATCTACCCCATCAAATATTGTTTTAAACAAATCGAAAATCAAAAAAATTGTTTTTCGAGATTTTGAAATTGATACATGGTATATTGCCCCCTACCCAGAAGAGTACTCTCAATGCGAAACGCTATACATTTGTGAGTATTGTTTGAAATATATGAGCTCACCAGTCTCGTACCTACGACATCAGTTGAAGAACTGCAACAATTCTAATCATCACCCTCCCGGAGTCGAAGTATACCGAGATTCAAATGTCTCAATTTGGGAAGTTGATGGGAGGAAAAATATAAACTACTGTCAGAATATTTGTCTTCTTGCCAAATTGTTTCTAAATTCAAAAACATTATACTACGATGTCGAGCCCTTTGTGTTTTACGTTTTAACAGAAAGAGACTCAAACAATTTATCAAGACACCATTTTGTTGGATATTTCTCCAAGGAAAAATTGAACAATCTGGACTATAACGTTTCATGTATACTCACATTGCCAATATACCAAAGAAAAGGTTATGGTCATTTATTGATTGACTTTAGCTATTTACTAAGTCGAAATGAATTCAAGTTTGGCACACCAGAAAAACCATTGAGTGATTTAGGGCTTTTGAGCTACAAGAATTATTGGAAAATTGCAGTCGCTTACAAGCTACGAGACTTGTATGAGATGTATCGACGAAAGGAAAAAATCTCATTGTCGATTGAACTGCTTTGCAAACTAACTGGTATAACGCCGGCTAATGTTGTTCTTGCCTTGGAACAGTTGGGCGCACTTTATAAAAACCCAAATAAAAAGGGCGCTTTTGCCATTGTTTTAAATTTACCAAAGATTAATGAAAATATAAAGAAATGGGAAGCAAAAAATTACTCTACTTTGAAATATGAAAACCTATTGTGGAAACCAATTCTATTTGGACCAAGTGGGGGCATTAACTCGGCCCCTGCGTTGCAAGTGCACTCAACAAAATCAAATATTGTTCCTCAGAATAGTATTTCGTTACTTTCAAATTTTCTTATGGATGATATTAATAATCCATATACACTCGAGGAGGAAGCTTTCAGGGAGATTTCTAAATATGCCGAGCTTCCATTTGACAAGGAGAAGGATGACTTTAAACTTGGAAACTACGTTTCTTGCGGACCCGAGAATAATATCGCCAAAAACGGAATTTTCAAATCTCAAGAGCACAAGAAGTATAGAAATAACGGCGTTGATATGGGAAAAGTTGCTGAAGTATTCCCGGTTGATTATAAATCAAACTCGGAACATGAAAACGACCTGGAGTTTAGCATAGTCAGTGGCGAAGAGATAGATGAGGAAGAGGAAGAAGAAGAAGAAGAAGTAGACATAGACGATGATGATGATGATGACGTTTACGAAGATGATCAGGAAAGCTTTTCTGCTAATCGGCGAAGACAACAATTTTCTGACACAACTTCTGATATCTTTAGGAGTAACCGAATTTCCAAATATTCAGACACGAGAAGGAATTTTAACAAATATAAAGACAATAAACATCGATCGTCACCAATGAGAAGAAAGACTATTAATGTACTTGCTAATGATGTTACACCACGCGGCCGTGGCAGGCCCAAAGGAACATTCAAGTTGAAAAGAGTACTGTAGAATTATTTGTAAAATTAGTAACAAGGCGAAGTAAAGAAAAACAAACAAACAAACAAACAAACAAGAAAGCTAGTTTGGATTTCTTTATTTATATATATATAAAAAAAAAGATAGTTCACTGGATGAAATTGTTTCCTTCTTTACATTTTCTTTTCTTCTATGTAAAGAGTTTTTCAGAATTCTCGAAAATCGTATCAATAAAATTCTCAATTTCCTTGTCCTCTTCTATGCCATGAATCTTGGCAAGTACTTCTGCCACAAGACCTACTGCAACCGGCTCATTTCTAGATTTTATCATGGGTTTACTGAAAACCCCAATATTCCTTTTAATACAAATTACACTGTTACTTTTCTGGCTCACATAATTCGAGTGTTTTTCATAAGCCTCCTTCTTGATAGATGGAAAGGGCAAATGATCATCTAGCTGAAATACCGGTTTTGCTTCATTTAGTTCGAGTCCACTTTCAATTTCTGGATAAAATTTATTTGGATACGGCGTGAGGTACTTGTATGAGGCATGGCTCTTTCGGATCCCACACCAAGGTGCATCGGTTTCAATCATAAGTTTGTCAATAGGGATTTTTGAGGCAACTTCAACATTCTCTTGCGTCTTCAAAGAGCAGCCATTGACTCCAATGAAAAACCCCAAATCAAGTATTTTTTGTAGTTCGCTTTTGCTGCCGGTAAACGAATGCACCACCCCTTTGCCCCTTTCTATTATTCCCGTATCGATATATGGCTGAATGATTTCTACAAAATCGTCGCATGCTGCCCTCATGTGCAAAAATAACGGAATCTTAAACGGTAGTTCTCTGAGCAAATCCAACTGTCTTTTGAACATTTCAATCTGTTGTTCCTTGGTTGAATAATGAAGCCTATCGTAATCCAAACCAATTTCACCCAATGCCTTTACATACCCTAGTTGGTGACCCTTGATAAGTATATTTTTCAACTCTTGAAGCTTTTCATCTACGTCATCTCGTAATTGATTGGTATAGTGGCCACCTTCTTCTTGTTGGTAAAATTCTTTGGCAACTGAGCACGGATGTACTCCAGCTGTCGAGTTAAACTGGTTTGAGTATTTCTCACACAACTGAAAGTGGTCCCGACTCTCATTAATTGTAGATGCAGTTACCAACATTTTATCCACATTAAATAAATGAGCTCGCTCAATTACATCCTCAATGTCGCATGGATGTTTCGATACAGTTGATCCATTATAAAAGCCCTGGAACATGGGATCTGAAAAATTAACGCCAATATCATAATACCTTGGTTTCCAACAAGGAACCTTTCGGGGTAACCTACATACTATGTATGACATACCTAGTTTCTCAAACAGTGATGATCTAAAGTAAAGAATAAAGATTGAAAAATATGAATTCTATAAAAAATATCGTAAACATGATGAGCACAGAAAAAAAAAAAATGACATTGTGCTTCGAGGTTCTGTTTGAGCCCTCCCTTAGGTTGAGATCTAAGCTGTTACTACAAAGGTCAGACATACCCCCCCCCCTCTCAACAAGGGTGTCTCCTAGAGTCTTGATTAGATAAACTTTTATCCAAGAAACCACCATACATCAGTAAACTGCAAACACCATACTTTGAACCACTACTAGTTCTACAAGGAATCAGAGTAGTGGTGTTTGCTCAGAAGGACAGGTGGTTTCATATTTGGGGTTCATGATGATGTTTGTAAATTTTTTTTTCTCTTCTTCTTCTTCTTCTTCATTACTGTAAGCGCATAGAAGGAAAAACTAAGCTGAAATACGCTGATACGATACACTGGGCGGGGCGGGTTTATGTCAGACGAATTGCAGCGGATCCTCTCTATAGAGGAGTCAGCGTTGAATCGGAATACTGAAATTGACAGGATTTTGAAATGTCCAGATCTGGACTATTTTGCTGTAATGGAGATAAACCCTTTAGCCATCTCAATTGAAGAGTTGGTTTCGCTAGTCAAGAAGATTTATCGCAAAAAATCATTATTGATACACCCTGACAAAACGGACCATCCAGAAGCTTCTAAGGCATTTGATAAATTAAAAAAAGCCGAGCAAGTGCTTTCTGCGACTGGTGAAGAAGATGACAAGTACAAAGAGAAGCACCGATTATACTCAATATACAAAGCGGCGGCCCAATCAACAACAACCAGCGACATGTCTCAAAATTTCGACTTTTATGATGAAACCAATGTGAAAGTAAGACAAAAAGTTGATGAGATTCTTTTGGATGAGTTGAATCAATTGGATTTACAAAAGTTGGCTAAACAAACAGAAGAGATGCGGAAACACGACTTTCAAAAGCAATTGAACAAAGAGCGGGAGTTGAAAAGGCAAATGGAAGCAAAATGGGAGCAAGATAGAGACTATAGAGTAAATAATTGGAGAAAGTATTCAAACAAGATTGAAAAAAAACAGAAACAGAAACAGAAACAGAAACAGAAAAAGAAAAAGCCAGAGGTGTTGGTTTGAAGCACTTTGATACAGCATTGTTCATAATAGAAGGAGTGGTATATGACCTCATAGAGTGAAAAGATAAGTACGGTACATACAATTGGAATATTGAAAAGTACACTTGCTGGGCTGCTAGAGTAGGTGACAGTCAGTGCTGCTAGAGTAGGTGACAGTCAGTGCTGCTAGAGTAGGTGACAGTCAGTGCTGCTAGAGTAGGTGACAGTCAGTGCTGCTAGAGTAGGTGACAGTCAGTGCTGCTAGAGTAGGTGACAGTCAGTGCTGCTAGAGTGGGTGACAATCAGTGCTGCTAGAGTGGGTGACAGCCAGTATTGCTCCACTATCTCACTTCGCTCGATAGTGTCGATAGTGTCGTAATCAATAAGGGGGATTTCTAACAAGATGAAATACCGCTCAAGGAGAAGAACAAAAAAAACTAAAAGGAATCAGAAGAACAAAAAAAAAAAAAGAACCATGGTTCTCATCTCATTTCCTGTTGAGTTCACCTTTTACACATGAACAATACTGGCATTACTATAGTGACCGTGAGCATTGTTTCATTTCTATCAGGCGTATACATATCCCAGTGGTTTAAATGCTCTCCCGCTGCAAGTAAAGGTCGAGTGAGGTATACACTGCCCAAATTTGCCTCATCAGAAGAGGAGACAGAAGATGAAACGGAAGACGAAGAAGATATAGATATAAACTCGTTAGCTTTGAACGAGGTTCCTGGTGAGGTTAGAATGACTTTGATTGTACGACAGGATTTAAAAATGGGCAAAGGCAAGGCTGCTGCGCAATGCCTGCATGCTACGTTATCACTATACAAAAAAATCACAAACCCTAATTCACAGGCATACAATCCCGAGATGGTTAGTAGATGGGAGTATGGGAACGGTCAAGCTAAAATTACATTACAGGTGCCTAACCAAGAAGAGATGGATATGCTATTTGCAAAGGCAATGAGCTTGGGAATCAACTCTTCTATTATTCACGATGCAGGAAGAACGCAGATTGCGGCTGGTAGTGCAACGGTCCTCGGCCTTGGACCTGCACCAAAACGCGTTCTTGATGAGGTAACAGGTGCCTTGAAACTATATTAACAGAAATAGAACAAATTGAAATGCAAATGAACAAAAAAAAAAAAAAAAAAAAAAAAAAAAAAAAAAAACTTTTTTNAAAAAAAAAAAAAAAAAAAAAAAAAAAAAAAAAAAAAAAAAAAAAAAAAAAAGCACTTTTACTCTTGTGATTTTTCTTTTCTTATCCTTTACGTATTGTACTCCTCACAGAAAGTGGATTCACAGCTGAACTTGTTCTTCGTTTCTTATTTCTCAACCTTGGAACAGTATCATCATTAATATCAACTAGAAGCTCGTTATCATCTTCATCGTCGCTAATTCCGATACCTCCAATTACATCATCGTCGTCGTCGTCGTATAAATCATTGACATCGTCTAATCCAAATGAGGACTGACGAGACTTCCTTCGCTCTCTAGCGTTAACAGTTCTATCATTACCATTTCTCAATTTTTCTAAATAATCAATTCGTGACCAGATTTCACCTTCTGTTCTTTGAGGCAAAAGGATAGATAGTTCAGCAAAGGATAGTTCCCTATTACGTCTATTAATTAAAAGCTCGTCTTCTTCCATTGTCCATGGGATATCCAATTTCAGGCTCTCGCGTTTCTCTTTCTCTTTCTCTTTCTCTTTCCCTTTTCCCTTCCCTTTTCCCTTCCCACTCCCGTGCAGTGAATTTGCAGCAGTAGGCGTGTTTCGTTTCAACTTGTGTAATTTATTATTATTTTTATTATTAGTGTTATTGTTACTATTATTATTGTGATTGTTATTGGCATTAGTATTAGTACTAGTATTGTGATTATCAACTTTATCATCCTTGACCTTCAATGGCTCTTCGCTTTTATCTGTATTGTGCGGTATCACCACAGAGCCAGAACGTGAATAGTAGCCAGTATTTGCTGCCACCAAGGAACCGTTCCTCAAACTTGAAACTGTGGTTTGATGTCCTGACATGCCGCTAATACTGGGGTTTCTCGATGGTCCACTGATGCTTCCAGCACCGCCAAATAGCACCGGTAAGTGAGCCAATGCAGAGGAGCCCAGTTGATGATGTGGTATATTCATTGACTTAGATGGAAGTGATGAAACCGAGGCTCTGGTTATGGACAGTATGGATTCACGATCTTCACTGGCTATTTGAATAATCGAGTTGTTTCGCAAAGCGGCAGCAGCTGTGGCAGCAGCAGATATAGACTCGGTGTGTAGATTATTACTGTTGCTGGTATCCTTTTGGCGTCCGCTATTATTAGTTGCATGAGAAAGCGACCCTCGAGGTGTTACTGATGAAGAAGTTTCCGGATGTGCCTGGTTATGAGGGAGGTTCATTGTAGGGTCTACCGAAACGTCGGCATAATAACCTCCCGATCCCGATGTTCCTGGAGCTACAATAACGGACTTGCCTGATGGCTCCATCAAGTTATCAGATGTTGAAGACCCTTCGTACTTGTGGTGATGTAAGCTACTGATCAGGTTAGCTCTCCCGCTTGACCCACCGTAATTTATTCGTGGCGATGAAACAGATATCTTTGGTGTTGTTGTTGCCGACAGGCTTGAGATGTATGATGGGGAGTTGGATAAAGCATTTAATCCTGCCAATGCGCTGGAGATGTTATTGTCAAAGCCTTGAAAGCCTCCACTAGTCACTGGACTATAAGAAAATTCAGATTCAGTAGTTTCAATCTTGGTATTCGTTCGATTTGAGTTAGTAGATTTTTTCTTTTTGGAAGTAGATGTGGAGCTGATTACACCAGAAGTTTGCTTAAACAGTTCACCGAGTTGTGATGCTGATTTTGGAGGATTCTTCAAGTTCCCCGATTTCAATCGTCTCCAACGAAATTGACATGCGTTAGGGGTCCTATTCGTGAAATTGCTTGCAATCTCCTTCCATCCCAACTTCTGTTTATCTTTCAAATGCATTAGTAGGACGTCATCCTCTGCGTCCCAGGAACTTGGCGTTCGTGCGGAGTTTTTGGTTACCGAAGAAGCAGCGCTAGTTGGCGAATTTGCAGCGGTAACTGAAATCGAAGGAGACGATTCGGTCGAGCTATTGTTTATACCATCTTTGTTTTCGGATGCAAGATGTAAAGTTTCTAATCTCGCAGAGCTCATTTGTCAAAGGATACCGTGGAATAGAAGCACAGAAGGACCAAAACTCTTGGTAATAAAGTTTGGCTTTCTAGTTGGTTCAGTCACCGTAATAAAACAAAATAACCTTTCAAGAAATGGACAATGGACAACCGACAGTGCCAAAAAAACAATCCCTCTATTTGTATATACAATCACAGCTATATTTGTCCTTCAAGTGTTGAAAAATTTGTGTTTGAAGGTTATTCGATGGATCCAACTTGATTGTTACAATTTTTAAGATGATCATCGACGATTTTACCGCATCGGGCTCTCACTAATATATTGGTGTTTGGATTCAACCATAACCGCTACAGAAAAAGAATACCTGGTGAGTTATTGTCGCGAAATGATTTAGGACAAAGAAATGGACAAAAGTTACTATGAGTAGAGATGAGAAGAGTTTACTGCAATACTATGGACAAGAGTTTACTGCGACACTATCGAGCAGAGTGAGATAGTGGAGCACTACACTAACTACAGAGCACTAACCATAGAGCACTTATTTTAGCCAACTATTTTAGTACCACTTATTTTACTGCTACTTATTTTAGAGCCTTTTTATTTTACTGGAACTTTAGCTACTACCATTTATTTACTGTCTCTTACTTCCTCTTACTTCCTCTTACTGTCTCATGCTGCCCCTGTACTGCCTCTTACTGCCTCTTACTGTCTCTTTACTGCCTCAAATTCGATTTTACGACATACCAATGCAATAGAGGCAATGACAACAGAGTCAATCAAACCCGTGTAACCTCTTCACTTGACTTTATTTACATGTAGCTAGTGAAAAGAAAGTGTATATTCCTGTTGCTAGTGGATAAAAAGTGTATATTTATATGGTTACAGTGTATTTTCATTTACTTGTGTGTACTCCTCTATTGTATATTTCTCTTCTAATAGATAGTTGCTATGATTATACAATTATTAGTATTGAGCACTTCTATTATACACCTTTCTAATTCATAAAGTTTGGATTGACCCCAGGCTTAGAATTTGGTGGTATTTGCTCCCAGCAAAGAGTTTTCCCAGGATACTCGACACTATCGAGCAGAGCGAGATAGTGGAGCACACTGACTAGCTGCCACCGACATGAGAAAAGAGAAACTGATTACGAGATATGGTAATACAGTTTATGGAAAAAGGTAGACAATCGAGCAAAGCGAAATAGTCTATATCTACTCTCTCCATTAGTGTAGCCCGTTAAAATATCTCACTTTGCTCGATAGTCTATAAAAAGCTTTTGCTTGCCCCTACTCAGCTATTCCAACTTTTTCAGCCCAAATTTTTTCAGCTTCAACAATGGTATTATTATTGGCCCTCATTTTATTCATAGTTTCCATGTACTCCTCATATTCGTCACTATCAAACACGATACCACCACCAGCTTGCAAATACGCTACTCCGTCCTTGTATACCATTGTTCTCAAAGCGATACATGTGTCCATTGTCTTACCATCGTAGCCCCAATGTCCAACTGCGCCTGCATAAACGCCTCGTTTCTCTTTCTCCAATTCGGCAATTAGCTCCATCGCTTTTACTTTGGGGGCACCGCTAGTGGTACCTGCAGGGAAAATCGACCTAAATGCGTCAAATCTCGTTTGGTCATCACGCAAAATTCCGCTTACTTCAGACACCAAGTGCATAACATGCGAGAATCTTTGAATCGTAAGAAGCTTGTCAACTTTATTTGTTTCTGGTCGGCAAACACGATTGACATCATTTCGCGCCAAGTCTACAAGCATTATGTGCTCGGCTCTATCTTTCAAACTTGCTCTCAAAATGTCCGCATTCTTCTCATCCTCTTCGTTTGTTTTGCCCCGAGGCATTGTTCCCGCAATAGGATGTGTTACAACTCTGCCCTTGGAATCTGATTGAACAAGCAATTCGGGTGACGCTCCAATAATTTGAAAGTCAAGCAAATCTATATAAAACAAATATGGCGACGGATTCACAGTTCTCAAATGCTTATAAATGTTAAATGGATGCAATTCAGTTGGACGAGCAACTCTTTGAGAAGGTACCGCTTGAATTATGTCTCCTTTCAAAATATGCTCTTTCAATTTGGTAACGTGTCCTTCATATCCCTCTTTCCCAATATTTGAAGTAAACGTTTGGTTCAACTTGATGGGCTTTTGTAGCGGAAGAATCAAGTTGTTTGATACATCAGTAAGTAACAACTTCTCGATTTTTTCAATTTCTATACTCCCTTTTTTGTATGCCGCTTCCAAATCGTCCTTGCCTTCTACTTGTATGTTGTATATTATTTGAAATCTTTGGAAAACATGATCAAAAGCAACAACCAAGTCACAAAACATAAATACAGCTTCAGGCAACTCTAGCACATCCTTCAACGGTCTCCTTGTCTTGGGCTCAAAATATTTTATGCAATCATAGGAGATGTACCCTGTTGCACCCCCGCTGAATTTAGGCAACCCTGGTAATGGCGCCTGCCTATATCCCGCCAACTCCTTTTCGAGAATCGTAATTGGGTCCACATTGCAATACTCAGGAGCAAACTTCTTAGGATCATCTCCAGTTTTGATCAATTTTGAGGGATTGACTCCAATGAATGAGTACCTATCCACTGTATCTCCTTTAATAGACGATTCAAATAAAAAGGAAGGAAGCCTCTTGTTATCATTGAGATTTGCCAATCTGAGGTAAGCTTGATGGATTGTTATATCGTTATTTGCAACATATTTGTAGATCGGGTACAAGTTCGGAATCGGCGATTGCAGAGCATTAGACTCAACAATCTTCTTTAAAGTCTCAATGGACGGCTGAACAAGTTGCGACTATAGAAAAGTTAGCAAGAGAATTCCAAAGTGAAGAGACAACAGCAACAGCAAAAAATAATAACAGTGTTACTATAAAGAACTCTCTTTTCTTCTCAGTTAACACATACCATCGTCTTCTTCTTGTTCAATGAGTAATGAAGAAGTGAAAAAAAAAAGCCGATTGAAAAAAAAAATTAAAAATAAAAAATAAAAAAAAAAAAAAAACTACAGAAACCTTTACAGTAAATGATGATCGAATGATATACTTAAATACAAAATCTTGTGAATTATAAATCCATTGACTTGGTACCAGCTCGGTTTTGTAAGCATTTGACTGCTATTCTTCTCTCTAATATGATTGTACGTATGTTTATTGTCAATTTTCGTTTTATTTTCCTTCTCTCTTTTGATTCAACATATAATTACATGAGTTTAGATACTTGGAACACTGATCAAAAGGCAGGTACCTGAAACTGGGTCTAGATGTATGATTTCGTCACAAATCACTTTGTCGCCGATTTGAGCATCACGGTCGTCAATACATAAAATATCAACCTCAATACCCAACTCCAAACAAAATGCTTTCCAAAGTTTACCAAATGTACAATGGTCAACATGTGTTACAATGCAAGAGAATTTCCTGTACCACAAATTGTATGAATCATCATTATCATTTTGCAATTTTTGCAACTTCTCCAAAACTCGGAACCTCTTCGCCGTATACTTCCAAAGAAAATCGGCTTTTTTGAATTTTTGTAGATTTCGAACATACTCACTAATCAGGATCGTGTCCAAAGGACCATTTAAAAGGTATCCTTCACCCTTTACAAAATTAAATTTGCCAGCTGAGGCTAACAAATCTTGAGTAGTGTGCATCGTCTCATTACTAAACCGTTCCTGCACGTGCGATAATAGTTGCAATTGGTTCATTAAGACCTCTCCTGAATTAAAGGTATCTGTAATGTTTATACACGCTCTATCCAAACCCAATGTGAAATCCAAGTTAGATGCCAGTAAATTAGTTGATACTGGTTGTAAGTAATTATTAGATATTATTTTTGCATTAGGAGTTATATGTCCGTTAACATCCTTTGCCATGATGCTCTGAAAGTATGACTTAGCTTCGAAAGGGGGGATCATGATATTATCATGATGAACAATTACTGAATCCTTTTCGTATTCGAGTGTATCTTTGTCCTGTCCAGTTCTGATAACAGGTATTTTGTTCTCATCGCAAAACACTGTAGTCAAGTAATTTGCGAGTATACGCGCCTCTTGAATCATAAATTCTGCTTGCGTATACAGACTTGAGGACAAGAAAATATTGGAGGAAGCAGCGTTGGGTGATGGTGATGACGATGGAAGAAATTGCAAAGACGCCTTTCCAGGATCAAAAGATTCAACGACACCTGAATCAGGAGACGATTTCATAGCATTGGAGCCAGCATGAACTCTTGTTTTGAAAAAAGTTTGAAGAATATTGTATATATAGTTCAAGTTATGAATATCCGCCTTATTCAAATGCGAGGACGTCTGATTGTTTTGAGCGTTAGTGTTTTGTTGTTCTTGTTGTTCTTGTTCCTGTTTTTGTTTT